TTTCTTTTTCAAATGCAAACTGTGAAGAATGTACATTCTTTAATTATCTATAAATGGTTTTGACTATAAACAGACAGATATAAGTTTATTGTATTAAAATTTGGTTAGTCTAAATCAAACTATCTCTGAGTAACAGAGACAAATGCAAAAAGTGTGGCAACTGTCCCCGGTCTCCCAATCCTTCGTTGAAGCACATTCTTCTGGCTCGTCCATGTAAACTTTAACAGACAGTTTTATTTTGTGTTATGTTTTTGGAAATCAGCAGCTTTGGATTCCTKAAGACAGTTCAAACAGTGTTGTGATGTTTTTGTGCTGATGGAGGAAACGGTTTCATGCCGTGTCATTGACTCTCAGCAGGCCYGTCAGGACCTGGACAAACGACGGGGAGGGGACCGTGCTGAAAACCTTGGCGGGGGACGGGTAGTACTGCGGGCGGGGAGTCGGCCGAGGCCACCGCTCGTAGAACTTGACGAAGAAGAGCGGGTCCTTGAAGGGCCCCCCGTAGATGATGGCCTGCATCAGGTAGACCAGAGCGACGACCATGAAGCAGATGAGGAAGAAGGGCAGGAAGGGCCTCAGGTGGTGCCAGGCCACGCCGAACCCGTAGCCCAGGCTGCTGAGGCCGCCCTGGTTGCCGGCGTGGGTTGTGTGGCGGGAGGAATCGGGGGCCGGAGCACTGTCTGAGGACTCCTCAACTGAATTTGACGATGACGGACTTGGGACCCCAGGTGATTCCATGAGTTAAGCTGCAGAGAAGGTCCTTGAAGGGATCCCTTTGTACTCACATTCCATGAAAAGGAAAAAACAGGCTGAGRGTTTTCGAGGAAAGGTGCTTGGAACCAAAGCCAGCCTCCTCTGCGAGAGCTCCTGTCCCACTGGGATGAATCCACTCATCTATTCYGTCATTCCTCATCGAGAGGTTCTCCCAACAGGTTTCAGCTTCAGACGTCTGGATCGTGAAGTTACACTTTGCTTCTTCTCTYAGAGCTCTGAAGAGACAGAAAGGGAAAACGAAGACCGGCCGGGGAACCATAAATAGATCTGACATCCAATGACAGGACACCGGTACAGAGGGAGGGGTGGGAGGGCTACATTTGGTGATCTCAGTTTTTAAGAGTGTGTGACACTGTGTGTATGTACACCAGCTGCGCAGGTTAAAATATTACACACAGACAGTGACTAACTGRGACACACCCGTATGTCAGAAATGTGCAGCAGCAGCTTCAGACTTTCATGTCATGCTGTTATTACGCTTCTAATATTACTGCGATGACTGTGGGGTTTTCACATTACGGTCTGCGTAGCTCCAAGATTGTAGACTCTTCGTCCAAGAACATTTTCCATTCATAATAAAAGCTATAAGAGTCTTAATCAGATATCTGTTTACATTTGACTAGGTTTAAATTACCTTGCTCGCTCCCAAAGCTAAGTGAGTTCAAGTGAGTCGAACATTTAATCTGAATGAAACGGTCATTTGTTTAAAAATAGGAGCTTGTGGAGGATCAAATTTATGATCCTGGGATAGTTTATTTATATGTCACAGTTTGAAGCTCAAATGTTTTTAAATTTGGTTCTGAGRAAAAGTTATGAAGAAATAWTATCTTACCTGTTGTAGACATRTCTTGGAACAATCTCAGTTTTGAAATAAAARTGTAATTCTGACCAGCCTGAGGAGCTAATGGTCAGAGTGAACCCATAGTGGATCRCTTCTGACTTGAAACTTAAAAACTTTGTTTAGATCTTTGCACTGCAGACAATTTAGCATTAYAAGGCTAATTTGGCAGAAAAATTGCGACATACCAATAACTTAACATTATTGATCAACCATCAAGAATAAACATGGCTAGTGGAGAAGAAAATTTAGACCCTGCTAAATCGTTTGAGAATGAAGACGAGGAAAATTCTGATGCTATATTACTAATATATTACTAGTAGTTCCTGAGGGAGTGCAGCCACAACTTAGTTGCAGCCAGGCCTAGACAACATCAAAACTCCCTCCAATCTCTAAGAACTGCAAATTTTTCTGGGTGTGTGCAACTACTCATGCCAATTTGTGGAAAACTATGCAGATCTAGCAAAACCACTGACTGAAGTGTTGAAAAAGGATGTCTCATTTGTCTGGACTAACAGACAGCAACAGGCAATGGACACCCTCAAAGACAAGCTGAAATCCACCCCATGTCTGGCTTATCCAGACTACAACAAAGAGTTTCACTCAGAGGTGGGCTTCTCAGATCACTGTCTAAGTGCAGGTTTGTACCAGATACACAACAAAGACAAACGTGTGGTGGCCTAAGCCAGTAAAACGATGGCAGGCCCTGAACTAAAGTACTCAGACTGTGAGAAGGCCCTACTGTCCATGGTCTGGGCAGTAAAACACTTCTCCTATTCTCCTATAAGTCCTATTTATACAGTAAAATGTCATGTTATCAATATCACAATATGCTCGTTACAATTGCTTGCTGATAAAATGTTGTTTTAGTATATATAGTGTTACATTTTTAAGCTAATATAATGTATTTTCTTTTTTTTTTTTCAAAGCAAATACATTGTTATATTTTATTCAAAGATAAAAACACTGTTTTTAACTGTCAAAAATACATGTGGCTTTGCATCATAATGCNACAGTTTAGTTGCAATAAAGACAGCAACTTATGGTGGCAATACATCTGAATAAACAAGGTTTGTAGGGCTTTTATTCTGAAATGCAACATCAGATGTTGCCCAAAGTTGCTGAGGAACATCTGGGGGGAGGGGGGGGTGGTGTACAGTTACCCTGAAGTGAGAGTGTTTCTTGGAAACTATACAGTTTTGTTGCAATAAATACAGCAACTTAAGATTTGTCAAATACAATTTTTTAATATAAATTTTGTTTTCATGGGTTTACGAAATGGCAGCTTTTATTTTGAAATTAACTCGCAAGCGTTACTACCGTAATACTTGTTAGCGCGCACAACAGTTTTCGTCGGAGTCGGAAGTGCGGGTTGGCGTTAAGACTAGCGTGGGCTAATGTTAGCTTATGCTAAACATAACATGACCCTGTTCATGCCGAACAGCAATAAAAACAACATATTATATTATATACTTACGTCGCCATCATCTCCAGATTTTTGACGACGAGTTGGAACAGAACCTTCCTTCAGTAAAAGTCTTTTAGCAAATCCAGACGAGTATTGTTGGAAGTTTTCAAAGGAGTCCTTTGTGAAATGACTTGCGCAAACTAGAATTCTTTTTGGCAAAGTCGCAGGGACATCGCCGTCATAAATAAAAATAAGCCACGCGTCTCTTCTGTCATCCGCTGGGAGAACATGCAGAGACACATGAGGTGTACTGCAACCAACAACACAACACCTGAAATACACCGGAGCCATTGTGCAAAGGTAAAAAGTAGAACAACACGGACGGTCTTCTTATAAAGGGTGCGGAGCTCCATCCAGATGAGGGGCTGGACTCTGGTTTAGGTTGCTAGGTGACTGTTATTCTGACGTCACAATAACGTGCTTTGAGAAAAACCATGTTTCCAGATACCTAAAAATACATGTAATTATGGCCGTAAAAGCCATATAATTATGGCTTAAAAACGGCTGGGCGCATTTTTTTTCCTTGTATGTGTGTGTTTGGGCTGCTTCTCTAAGCAGTAGAGACCCAAAGGGAAGTTTAAAAACATGAAAAAAAGTGAGTTTTGCATAATAGGTGCCCAATCTTCTTACTCTGTGTAAACAAATGGAAAGTTGCCCTTATTGCAAAATGTAGAAATACACATCAAATCAGTTTTTATCTTGCAGCTGTGTGTGCAAATATTTATTTTTTTTTATAACTAATTGCTTCTTTCATGCTGTACAGAAATGCCACATAACACCATGACTGAAGTGGGAGTAGGCGGGGCTTAAAGTTCCACGTCCCCAGACTCTGGTTCCAAAAATACAACGTGACCGCTCCAGTAAATCGGGTCCTGTAGGCTTCAATTCCCAACATTGAGGAAGAAAGAAAAAAAAAGTGGGGGCACTTGAATTTATATTATATTACACAGCCTACGCAATTAGCTACAGCAGCAACTAGCTGTAGCACATCCTGTGCAGCACCTACAACAGGAATAACACATTTCTGTACGAATTACAGAAATATTAAACTTACAGCTATTGCAGTAAAGCTATTTGGCCTTGGCTCAACTTGGAGTAGCAATTATCCTTATCAATCAACTTCATCTTTTCTGTTTTTAAAACTAAAACATTTTTTTACACAGAACTTCAGAAATCTCTTATAGCTCACTGATCTTAATAACTTCACTTATACTCAAATAAAAACTTTTAAACTGAAGATTATAAACTCTGCCATGTTGCTAAAACCCCAGGATGTCTGAGGTTTGGCTCTGCTTCATAYGCAATAAAATGAACACAGTCCCCCTGGCCGACACGTTACACACCTTAGCATGTCGAGCTCTCACACGCCAACATGCACTTAAATTAAAAAGTCCTCGTGATCCAGCAGCTGCCTCTCAGTCTGTTARGAGATGCATTTCAGATGCACCGCATACTGATAACAAGACCCCTTCACGTCCTCAAGAAACCCTCGCACTCCTCGCTACAGCGTGTCGATACGCAACCGGAGACGGCGGTACAGCCGTCGATGTCAATGCTTTAATGTTCTGCAGGACTTTATGTTCTCGGGCTGGGAAGAGAAGCAGAGCAGGATTGACCGCAGCGCAGGGAATTAATGCCGTCGATCAACAGGTTAAACACAAAAGTCTGAAAAGCGTTTGGGAACAAGGAGACATTTCCTGGATGGAAGGCCTTAATTATCGCATTTTCAAACTAAGCCTGATGAAGCGGAGAGATGTCGGGGAGTCGAGATCAAACAAGTGTCGAGTTCAAGCACCTGACCCAGCAAGTGCCAGGGGATGAAATTACAAAGACCGGACTGCCTCTTTAATTAGAAATGTTTAGTGACAGAAACTCATCCTTATCACTCACTCCCAACAACATCAACGCTTCGCCAAAAACTTGTCTAAGAAAAGATCTTTATTTATAAAAACAGTATAACCAGTTACATACGTCACTGAAAAAAGCAACTGCTCAGAGCCAAGGCAGGTGTGAATGGTAACATCATAATCTTACATGGTTAGGCGACAGTACAAATAAACTGTGTGAAAAGATCCAGAATAAAATAAAGATGATTCGTCGCTTTCATCTTTAAAAGCACGGCTGTAAAAGATGAAACAAAAAGTAGAACAAATTGCATAATGCTCTCACCCACATACAAATCCCTGGAAAAACAAAGACTTAGAGGAAAAGTGTAAAATGAATCTGATAAAATGAGAATGAAATTAAAAAAAAATGTCAACTCCCTCAAATCAGTCAGCAAAAACCAGTCTCCTTTGAGTGAAGAAGCTCCCAAATTAGTGTCTTGCAAGCTTTCAGAGGATGATTACTCCAATTTTTTTCCAAACAGAACGGCATGTTTTACAGTAAAAAAAAAAAAAACAACAAAAAACTCAGGAATGATTAAATTATAGTGGTTTGAATGTAGTAGTGTGTGCTCACAGCTTCCCCTCTCAGTACCAGTTTGACGACACGTACTGAACAGATCTGCTAAATCCAAACTGGAAAATAAGAAAAACAAAAAGCAGCTGAACCATTTCTTTTTTTTTTTTTTTCAAACTGGGGAGAAAAAAAACTATAAAGTCAAAAACGCACAAAAACAGGCAGCAGGAACATGAAACAATAATAATTATAAAAAAAAATAGTGTAACAGGACAAGCAGTCATATGAAACAATTTGTGTCTGGTCTGTGCAGGCAATGACACGCTCAAAAAATATATATATATAAGGGGGGAAAAATAAAATAAAAAAAAGGTCCATATTCTTTTTTAAACACAGAAAACACACAGCCACAGGTTTAGCTTTTGACAAATATACACACACACACATGTGCCTTTTCAGGTCTGTGCTCATCCCACAGAAAATAACTCTAGACAGGAAAATACCTCCTATATAAAACAATCTCCATCTACAGGGCAGCCTGTCGGTGCGTCCAACGTCCCAATGTCCACCGGGAAGGAACCGTTTAAATTAAAACAAACCAAAACTAATGCAGCCATCCCTTTTTTTAATATATATTTACACACTTTATACCCTACATAGACGTCTAAATACAAATCTGTCAGGATGAAGGTGTTGGCAGCAACTTTTTGACCATGAAAAGGTTTGACAGTAGCACAGGAAAAAAAAGGCTGACTGAAGAGTTAAATGATTGTCAACAAAGGTGATTGCCTTAAAGACAATTATAATTTGTAAAACTGAATTCATCTCTACTGCTACATGAAGTAAGAGTGTGTGTACATGCGTGTTGCACTGAGACTCTTTGCTTGCAACACGGCCACGTTCTTTGGAAGCCAACCCTCGTGCTTTTGATTCCCGTCTGTGTGGTGAAAAAGAGAGGAGGGTAAAAAAATATATAGGAGGAGGAAGAAAGGGAACAGTCTGCGTCAGAGTCTTCTCTCCTCAGTAGCAGTGGTAGGGTGGCGGCGGAGGCCCAGTCTGGGTGATGCAAACGATCAGTTTTTCTGCAGAAACAATCGTAAAACACGATTAAAAACACAAAATAAATGTAGCGGATTACCAACAACACGAGAAGGATGAAACACGCTGCACATCAGCGCCGTCACAAATACCAAACTTTAAATGAAACTCTTTGGATTTTTTTTTTTTTACTGAAGCTGACACCTTTACATTGCAGTGATTAAAAACATGAGCAGAACAAGCCTATGAGTTTAACAAGCCTAATTATATTGATGAAGTGTTATTTCTTGAGGCTTTGGCACCTTTTCCCCTCTAAAAAGACTTCCACCTACTTTGACGATGAAGGTTATTTTATTGCTCCTACTTTGGTGATGTTACCTTCACCATTTGTGCCTTACATGACTTTAATTTCATTTGTTTATATTTTTATTTAATCATTCATTCACGAGTTTGGATGGTTCTGTTTGTAAAATAATCAGTGCCCCTTAAAAAGGTACATTTAAAAGAATACTTTTCTTTTTTTAAAGTCAGACTCTTAACCTAATAGTGCGTCAAACCATAAGGGTAGTGGAGAAAACCTAAAGTGCCCACGACATCATATTTTTGCATTAATGTGCATTTTTGGAAAGATAACATAAAAAAAGAAAAACTAAATTTCACATCGCTGAGATTAAAAGTTGAGATTTTGATTGTGAAATAACAGGAAGTGATGTCAAAGGTGAATGTCTGCATGTGAACAGAGCATCGAAACAATGCCAACAACAAACTGTGGAAAAGAATCTGATGTTTCTTTAGATTATTTTTTGAGTTGATATCAGAGAGGTGAAGAGTCAAAGTTCAAATAATATTGTTTCAATAAACAAAGACCAGGAAGTTCTCTTTTTTAAAAAAGTTCCCTTTTGATGTCACTTCCCGTTTCCCTCTTTGACTTTTTGTATTTTAAGGATATGCATTTCACTGGCACTTTAATGTTACCTTTTTAATTTTTACAACACCCTACAGATATTTTTTTAAATCAAAGATGCCATTTACACATCTTGTGCTTTCTGACTTATTTTGAAGAGCTGTTGTTTTACTGCTCAGTAACAGGTTGTTTCTTTAGAGTCAGAGAGAAGGTGTGTTGTTAACTATGTTTGTTATGAACACAGATTTTTAATTCAACTAAAAAACAAAATGTTGAAAAACAATTTCTTAGAGGAATCCTCAGAAATTAGAAGCCAAGAAAACGGACCTGTGCATCACTAATAAAAACTGTAACCAATAACGCGAAACACAGTTCTTGTCCTAACGTGATGCCAAAAACAATAATCCAAGTTCAAGTTTATAATCTGGGTCAAACAATGATGTAAATCCGTGAATCACCACAAGAGGGTGCTCAAAAATCAGACCCAGCCATGAATGTTGGCTGGGTGGGAAGGATGTAATAAATAATAACAATAACAATAATCTAAATCTACAAATAGACATAGAAAAAATAAAAACTACACTTCTTTTATTTTAACATTTGATTGTGTGTGGTGAGTTTTAAAAAGGCTGTGAAGAAAAATCTACATAAATCCTGGTTATTTTTCATAATTTACTTCCTATATTTCTGAGACTTCAAGTGTTCGCCTTAGATTTCATGGGTTTGAGTCAGTACAAATGACAATGGTTCAAAGAAAAAAAATAATTCTGCATCTCGTTTTTATTAAGTAATAAAGTTCTGGTATTGGGACACCATGTGTGCACAACATCAAAAACAAACAAACATAAATTTTAATTTGTACTCTTACGACTTTAAATGTAAGCGTGGAGCACAAGGGACAAGGATCACGTTACAGACTACTGTAACATCATGTACAGCACAAAACATCAGGGTTTTACAAAGATAAACATCAGAGTCGACTTCTGCGTTAGCGTCAGTACACCACCGTAAACACACACAAAAAAAAAACAGTTCATCTGAGGACCTGAAGTATTAAAACAACAAGAGAAGCACGTCTTTGAGCACATGCAGGATTAGAGGTCTGTTGGACATACCATGCTGTTACATGCAGAGGGGGGTAGAGGGGAGGGGGGAGGGCTAACCATCGTAGGAGTCCAACAGAGGCAGGGAGCCCTTTCTGCCCCCATACACCCCTCGCTGAGAGACAACCAGAGAAGAAGAAACAAAAACGTTGGACAGGAAGTGAATGTGAGACAAGTGTCAGTAACTGAGAGGTTAAAAGTTAAAGCTCTGCAGGTTAGGGATTAGTTCAATGAGGCCAGCAACTGTGAAGCAATGACTTAAAGCACCTGTAAAGTGTCTGCGGCATCATCGAAAGTGTGTCTCCTCTCCCTCTGGTCCAGTGTAGTGTAGGCGTCTGAGAGGAGATGACAATTATCAGCACATTATCAAGTCTTTAAATCTTATTAAGTTAACAGATAAGCAGCAGAGATAAACTAACCAGGGCCAAGGTCATTCAGTGGAATCACATCCCTCTTTTCCCCTGAAAAAGATAAAAGATAAATTAAAATAATATTTTACACAATCTAAAACTATTCAAACGCAACAGCGAGTTTCCGTACCTCTGTCCAGCAGCGGCGTGGTGCTGTCCTCATAGGCGCCGTTGACTCTGGAGCTCGGGCCGTTGGTGGTGCCGCCGCCGGGGTTGAGGTTGACCAGGAAGTCCGACTTCTTCCAGCCGTCTTTCTCTAGAGGCCGACGCAGCTCTTTGTGAGCCCAAATGAGCTGCAGAACCTGACCWGCTCCTCGCACCTCACGATCTGAGCGCTTGCTGCAAAAAAACCACAAAAACAAACACGTTATAGAAGCACTCGCCTTGCTCAAACGCTTTGTTTCTGAACATCAGAGAGCTGACGTTAAAGTTGGTCAGGGGTCTCATTTATAAAGGATTGCGTGGAAACCATACTAAAAGTGAGCGTACGGCCAAAAGGTGGAAATGGCGTACGCCAAAAAAATAATAATTCAGATTTATAAAACCGTGTATACGCTTGTTTCACCGCATTTTCCCTTTATAGATCACAGCTGTGCCTCATAATTTGCACACAAGGTCCCGCCTCAGGTTCTACCCTCTACACGCCCACATTTAACCATAAACAGTCAATGCAAAATACCTCATGAATGTTAAGATGTATTTAAATCAGTCAGCTGATCAATATCAAAAGAAGTGATTGGCCGGCTCAGACGCGCGCTCTGCCATGTGTCTGGAGGATGACAGGTGCTGACTGACAACTGCTCACGTGAACAGATTGTCTGTAACTGACAGATTTTCCCTGATTTTGCAGGTTTACAGATGTTTAGAGCAATCTAACGATTTTTATCAAAAACTCAGCTTCAAATTAATTTTCTCTCAGAGCCTGCAGGACGATAAAAACAATAAATAAAATTAAATGTCAGATAAACTTAGAAATAATTTCACCACTTTCCTCCCCCTCCTCTGTTATCTGCCTACAGTATTTTTCAGCCTTTATTTTACAGTTAAAATGTATGTTTATTAAATAAAGTCTAATGTTACAAATAATCAGGGATGCCTTTAAGAAAACACTTACCCATCTTTGCTGATAAGCACCAGCCTCTCGATGCCTTGTGAAGCTCTGAGAGTCTTTGCTGCCTCCAGATTACTGCCCAGCACCTCAGTGAGCGTGCTCAGCACAGACACCACCGTTTCCTCTGATAGAGGGCGCCCAGACTGGTTCTGGCCCCCAGGCAGGTTGGCCACGAGGTGAGGCACAGCATGCAAACCTGCAGGAGAGATGCAGTATGTGAGCACGCACTCAGTGTGCACAATAACGACACAATCCTGAGTAAATAAAGAATAACGTCTGACCTAACAGGTCGCAGTTTCTGGAGTCGATGGCGAGGTTCCTCAAGGCTCCAGACATGGCCCGAACCACACGATCGTTATTATGACTGAGCAGTTCTGTCATCATGGGGAGACCCTTCTCCAGACGCACCATGCCCCTGATGTACTTACCGTACTGAACAACACAGAGGCAGGCATAAACATCAAGTCAATTTGTCCAACACTGATTGTTTTACAGCATGTTTAAGATTACAAAAAAAAGGCACTAACGGTCCATCGGCCTGCACACAGGTTCTGGATGGCACCGGCAGCAGCCTCCAGCACCGAGGGGTTCTTGCTTTCTTTGAGCAGCGACGTGTAAACGCGAACCACCTCCGGCTGGAACAGCAGCTCATAACCTGACAACAGAAAGAGAAGCTTGTTACTTTAGATTTACACAGTTTGATGATGGACATTTGGGCTGAAAGAAAAAAAAAAACTACAAGTCAAAACAGAATTCTCTCAGCTGAGTCTCGTAATGTTTCCATGAGTATTTTTCTGTTAATGATAATTATGGAGTACAGAGACAGTTTGGTACTGAAAATATTTTAAATACTTAATATTTCAAGTTTATATTGTAGTTAAACTTGTCATTTGCAACAGTTGATATTGCACCTTTAGACAGTTTAAATTGAGGTTTTGGTGGCGTGATATCTGGCTGGTATAGTTTCAAAAATCAATTAAATACGACCTCATATTTATTAATTTGACTAAAACAGAAAGTAGTTTATACATTATAACATCTTATATGTTCTAATATAATCCAAAACTGGTATTTAATGAGCTAAAAATGCAATAAAAAATTTAAACTACTCATATTTTTAATTACCTGCTTATATTTTAAGAGCAATCAACAATAAAAATAAAACATACCTTTGGCAGGTGTTGTTCTCTTTGGAATATCAATTTGATCAACGCTTCCATCATCTCCATCTTTCTTTCCTGCAAAAAAGTAAAAAAATAAAAGACTATAATTATAAAAAATTACCAAGAGTGTTTATTAAATAAATAATGATGCGCTGGGTGGAATGTTAATGAATTCTGGTTTTCACTTAAATACATAAAAAAAGTGAACATGCAGTCAGTGGAACAAGCACCATCACCATGCAGCATTTGTTTGTGAAAACTGGTCATGCTCTCATGTAAACAAAGAGTCTTGTTTCTCCAACTTTTATCCTCTGTTAGTAMAATAGATGATGGTTGTTGGTTTTGAACATTCAYGAGAGCCAAGAGGAAACTCTTACCTTTGGAAAACCATTCATCTATATACAGCACAGAGAGAAAAAGAGATGAAGGAGGGTGGGAGGAAGAGGAGAGGGAAACAGTGGTAAAGTGTGAAAAACAGTGACAGGTGCTTCTGCCACCAGAAAGCTCAAACCAACCAGGAACTCGCCCCCAATTTACAACAGCAGATTTCTCCAACACAGTGGAACTCCTGGGTTTTAAAATCTGACACTGACCTTTGCCCTTTCGAGAGCCAAAGCAGCCTCCTTTGTGGGCTTGGGTCGGGCCCTGGTTGAGAGGCGCTGCCTCTGCGTAGCGTTCACAGCCAGGGACTTCACGGTGAACCTGATACGACAGGTTCCTCAGGAGGCAGACGCAGTTCTCCACCAACTACAGGAAGCAGGAGTGAAACAAAGGAGAGTAAGTTACCTGGGAACACCTTGGTTTCTCCCAGGAGGAGCTGACGAGTGTTGCTGAGGAGAGGTATGTCTGGGTTCCTCTCCTGGACCAGTTGCCTTCACGACCCAATGACGCTAAGAAGCAGAAGATGGAGCAAAAAAAAAAAAAAAAAAACCAAATAATTATAGTAGTCTTTGGTGAAAACATACCTTATTATCCACATCTTTGCGGTTAATCTGAGACTGAACGATGTACATCAGTGCGTCCACCAATCCTGAGCATTCTCGCAGCTTTCGCCTCGCCTCACTCCGTTCTGAACTCACATTTCTGTCGGACACAGAGGGAACACGATTGCACATTTTCTTCTGAAAAACAAGCTATTTTCCCCTTTATTCTCATTCCTCTAGTTTTCCCTCCATTCACCGACCCCTCCCGTACCTAAGGCAGCCGGCAGTGTTGGTCAAAGAGACCTCCCACTCTAGATGTCGTGGTTTTATGCTTTCCTCGCCCCCGCTGGTGCCCTTCTCCCAGCCCGAGTGAGGAACCACAACCTCATCAGCCAGAGCGTGAAGAGCGTGGTCCACGATCTCCATCTTTACCGAATCGTGAGAGGAGAGGTTCCACAAGGTGCCTGGACACAATGTTAATGTTGAAATCACAACAATTATAAAAATAAAATGGAAACAGAAAACTAATCACGCTTCAACACTTAAGACTTGTCAGGGAATTTTCTAATACGGTACCGTCTGAATTTCTTGGTTTCCTCCCCTCACTTTTTGTGTAATTGGGGTTTTGTTTTGGTTGCTCAAACCAAGAAAAAGATATACGTGACCCATCATATAGAAATGAGGATTAAGTCAAATTTGGTCAAAATGATCTAATCCCATTTTCTTATTCCTGCTTTAAAAGCTTCATTTTGATACCTGGATCATTCTGATGTCACAAGCATATCCAGAGATCTGACTTAATTTGTCTCGGTTATGATAATACATTAGTTTGGTCTGAATCTTCATTTTATGTAAATTTATTGAGTCATTTTTATGTCAATATAAAGAGGAAACCTCAAATTGTATTTGTGTATCAAGATTTCCCAGTTGTAAAGAAACAAAAACATTGCTAGCACAGAGAAAATTCAAAAATTTAAGGTGTTTTCCTCAAAATCAGTTTTTTTGTTGTTACTGCTCAAAAAAATGCTTCAAATTTTTTTAGGATTAGATTTCAGACAGTTCATTCAAATGATACATAAAAAAGGCATTAATTCATTACATTTTGACAAAATGCTATTTTTGCACTCGTTTAAATCAAAACCCTATATCTGCCTGTTTCTCCACATCCCAATTTTGGACTTGATCCTTGTTTTTTAAAAAATCCCCCAAACAGGAATCCTGTGAGCAGTGATACCTGTGATGGTGTCAGTCAGATCCTGGTCGTGGGTTTTCCTCAGTAGCCTGACCAGAGCTGGTACTCCATCGCAGTTTTTGATAGCGATCTTGTTGTCTGGGTCTCGTCCGTAGGAAATGTTCTTCAGTGCTCCRCAGGCTGAATGATGGACCTCTTTGCTGGGATGGTCCAACATCGACACCAAGGCCGGAATGCCCTTCAGGCGACGCACCTCGGACTTCACCTGCAAACACAAATCAGGAAGTTCCTCCAACAAAGGTTCTAAAAAGGAGTTTCTTTAGTAGAACAGTTACAGCTGAATATGGCTGAAGAAGCTGTGGGGATGACCTCACCTTGTCGTTTTTGAACGTCAGATGCTGGAGGAAAGCGGCTGCGTTCATCTTGACGGGATCCAGACGGTAGTTCAACATGGCGATCACCTCTGGCAGTTCTGGCTGTCTCCATGAAGTGGGAGGGGCCTTCCTTAATGTGCTGTCCAGCGAAGCCATGCTGCCCCTGTCCATGGTCATGGGAACGGCCCACGCGTAAGGGTCGACGCCTCCATCTAAAGTGTTCTCACAGCTCCTGCACAGAACRGTGGAAGATGAGGCAACCGTAGAGCTAGAATATATTGTGCATTAAGGGCTGAACATCGTGCTGCAGTTTTACCTGAGTCTGCGTCGGTCCATCCCCCCCGGGCCCGCCCCGAGCCGTGGCATGGTACCGTAGCCCCCGGGGTGCATAGGTGGAGGCCCCATGCCGTACTCGTCATACGTCACGCTGCGCTGATCTTCCTCCAGACCAAAATGGCCAGGACCGTATCTCATCTCCAACGCCGAGCCCAACGCCCTCATTCCCCGACTCATCTGGGGCTGAGCGGCGTACGGGTCCAGCTGACGGCTGGGCGCCCGGTACCCAGAGTCCAGAGTTCTGTAGCCATCAACTGGCCTGAAAGATGGGAACGAGATTAAAGTCAGMAAAGTACTGTTTTCTTTTTGTCTAAAGATACATCCCATTTTCAGAGTACTACAACACGAGGACAGTTTATAAATAATTATCTAGTTTCACAACTCAGCTTCTTTCAATTTGAGTAAATAAAAAAATAAATTAAAAAACATCTGATACTTCTCCGTCTGGTTAAAAACTGGGTTTTATGGTTTGTACCCTTCTTGKCAGACAGGCCAGAGTTAGATGTGGCTGATTGTATTAAAAAAAGGGAAATGACAGGTATACTAATCAAACCACAGCATCTGTTTATGGCACTAAGCCTTTTAGAAACCACTTCTCTGAGAACAGAAAAACAGTAAACTAGTTTACTGCTGCACTGAACTGAACAAGTCCTTTTCTAATTAATGCACTGGGGATCATAGACATATTTTTGTTTTTAAATGGAGGTGAAAATGGGCCTGAAATAATCTAGTAAAGCTTATTAATGTTGATGAACAAACAGGAAATGTTGCCTTCRTAAGTAATTAGTCAAATACTTTCGTTAGTTATAGCCATTTTGGTAAAACCTTGTAAGGGGGTTGTGTGAGACCTCCATTTGTGAAAGGTTTTAATGTGTCGTGAATGATTATCAGCTACACCCACAAAAAAACTGAACTCATCTTTAAAAATTACAGTAATTTTTGTGTTATTATAGATTACCTATGGCAGCTATTTTTAAGTAAAACTGACTCCAAAAGTTACTTTCTTGTACCTGTAACGTTCATCCATGTGTGAGCCCCGGCTCAGACTGGTGTATGCCTCTGATGGGGGCCCTCCCTGGTATTCATCGTATCCTCCCACAGGAGCGTAGTGATAGTTTCTGGGAACTGTAGCGGTGGGGTAGTCGCTTGAAACAGCCGGCCTGTAAGGACGGTCCAGTGTGGCGCTGTAGACACCCATAGCCGGCGACAAGCCCCCGTCGATGGACAACGTCAGAGAGGGCATGACTGTGCGCGAGAYGGGTTTCTTCATCTAACAGATCAGGACAAATGTAATACATTGATCACGATGCATTTTTATTCATTTATTTTTAAATCAGATGAAAGTATGAGAAAAGCAGCAACACTTTACCCCATTTTCTGTCCGCCGGGTGGTTCCCTCTTCAGAAAAAACAGAGTGTGCTTCCTGGGAATCGTCCTCCGGGGTATAGCTCTCATCTAGAGCGCCGTGTGCAGGATCCACCATTCTGTACTATACACACAGACAACAAACACAAAATCAATTCCCTCCACCAAAAAAGAAAGAAAAAAAAAACAAAACAAAACATAAAAACATACCTGTGTGCCGTTCATGTATGAGTCTGTCAGTTTCAGACGCTCTATGTCTGCATCCCCTAAACGCCCGTTCTAAAATAAATAAAAAGGAAGGCTAGAGTGAACCACAAAGTACAGGAATACTTTATAATCAGACAATTTTGCTGAAACAAAAACATACAAATGAAGGCCGAAGACATTTTCCCAGTAGACAATATATTTATTTTAAACACAAGCATGCAGATGATATTTGATTATTGCTGAAGCACACACGGTGCTGACCACATCGTCTCTGCATGTCGACAGACTGTGAATCACCTCCAGACACCCAGAGATGAAGGTTTTGGAATGCAGACGGTCATACTCTCACCCTTCCTCCTCCTGCACTAAACTCTTACATAATTTTCCCATTGCGCAACTTTCTAATCTAACTTTAGGCTGATTTCAATATCAGTCACATCAAATGTTTCTGGAAATCTTTTCCAGCAATCGTTCTGTGGCCGACAGTTACTATCAGTTTTAGTGTTACAGTGATAATGACTCAGGACCAAAAAAATAAAAAATAAAAGGGCAGCTTGTACAGATAAAGACACTGTAAACCTAAAATGCAGTAAAAATGAAATCTAATTCAAAGAGGAAGGACTGGCATTAAAAAGTAAGGAAGTGAGGACCATGCTTTTATAGCTGAAGGGGCACACTTCCTCTACAGGCAGTCGTTCCCAGAATATAAACTCATTTAGAAAAAACGTACATGCTTTTGGWGCAGCGCTGGTAGAGCTGTACATCCAAATGATAATATACTGAGACACAAGGCCAGAAAACACAAATACATGCCTTTTAGGCCTTTATCCTATTAAAGATTCAGAAAAGACAAAACAAAAAAGAGCTAATCTGTCAGTAAGCTCTTAAAAAGAAAATAATCTTTGTGTAAAAAGATAAATAAAATAAAGTAATTTAAGTTCTCAAAGTTTTGCCCAAAAGTACAGAAATTAGTTTTCTTTTTTCTTAGTCCACATGCAGCAAAAAGTTTGCTTTTCTTGGCTTCCAGGAGAGGTCAAAATGACAAGAAAGTAGATCCTTATTTAACTAAACAAGTCAGCAGTAAGCAAACCGGTTGAGTTTGTGTTTTTAATATTGTCAGCAAAACTGATTTTAAACTAAGAATTTTATTTTAATGTGAAGTTGGATACGAAGAAAACCTGGTGTTCTGATTAAAATAAAGATCGTAAAAGCAAAATAAGCACCTTTTGGAAAATAAATGATCAGCGTTAACACATCTTTGTCCATTTATAGCATCCGAGCTTTTTATGTGATTGTAGAGTAGATAGTTAATCAAATGTTTTATAAACTGAAACACTACTAATATTTTTTGTCTTGCTTCTCCTTTGGGCAATTATTTGAATAGTTTAAATTTTGCACACGGTCAGACAAAACTGGCCGTTTGAATACATCAGCGTGGGCTCCAGGAGATTTGAATATTATCAAAATCTCTGGAAAGATTCAATAATAGTATATGACTGTAAACAGCATGATGGGTAACAAAAATGTCAACACAGAAATTAGTTCAACTACTAAATATATTTAAAATACCTTGTTCAAAGTCTGACAAGCCTTTGGAAAAGAATAACTACAACACAACTGAAACTCCAAGTGGGAGTTGTCTACAACGGCGACAGAGCAAACATCACAGATGCATGTTTAGATGCAAGACGGAGTCAACATGCACAACAGATGATTGTTTCATTCAGCGACATACTGGAGCAGAAATAAAAATGAATGAAATTCCACAACAGGAGGCAACAAACGATGTGAACGGCTACTTAAGAGTGCAGTCAATGAGTGACGGTTAGGTTATGCGGAAGGCGTGTGATGATCATCTCAGGCATGTTGATGGCGTCGGTTCTATGGTGGCATGCACTGAAATACTTTTAGATAAAGACTGGAAGAAAAACTCTTAAAAACAAGAGAAGATACAATGCTGGTGAAGAAAGACTTGATTATGCAACACTGAAACACACGAGGTCACAAACATGTCAAGGATAAAGGGATGAGTGATTATTAGATGATGCATCAATTCTGACTGAAGAGGTTTTATGAGAATCTGTGAAGCACAGGAGGTGGAGGTCAAAACCATGGGAGCTGGAGATGTTAAGACACTTGCGGTTGGGGGTGGGGTGGGGGGGTGTTTGGGTTCGTTGGGGCGTGTTACCTGCATGTGAGGGAGGGGGCGACCCAGGGCCGAGGGGCTGGTGGCAGGGAGGCCAACTCTCCTCCTCTCCTCCTCCAGGGCCCGGGTCAGCTGTTCAAACTGCACCTCCTGCTCCCTGACCGACTCCAGCAGAGCTGCTGCGTTCTCACACTGCTCCATACACACTACACGGCCCCAGAAAGGAGAGGAGGAGGAGGGGGCAGGCGTTACACATAACCATACAGACCCAAAATAAAAAACACACCACAGCACAGGGAGAGGGTGTCTAACAAAGAACTGATACTTCAAACAAAAGTAGAGCAGGACTGGGTGGATCATGGGGGCCGATACTGGAAAAGGCAGTTATTTTGTCCTAATTTAATCAGCTGAGAAAGAACGTTTTGTGACGGAGACTTTGATATCTTCTTGGAATTGTACGGGTATCTTGGATTATACAAGAGGATCTCACTTTTATCTCAACAACACAAGTATGGTGGTCACCACATTAAAAGATTTGCTACCAACTGAAACACGAAACGAAAAAAATCCCCCAAATAACTTGATTCATGCAGTGTGCATATTTCAGAAGGCCTATCACGCTCAATTCATGCGTTTTCACAAGGATGTGTCTCAATAAGTCCACATTACACAACACTGAAAGCAACAAAATCCCAAACTTTGCTTTGTGGCACAAAAACCCAGCAGAGCAAACGTTTAAAAGCCCACTCGACGCAGTGTTTTGCAATTAAAATCAGCAGGTGGAGCGCAGCGATGATCAGTCAGATTCTTCAATACCGCAGTTACTGCACTCATCATAAATATTGCAGTATGTTAATTTGTCAACATCGCGTTTCTTTCTGTACACAGATCAATAAACAACCACTTGATACACTTATGCACAGAGATGCCCTCTGAGAATTTGACTGCCTCAAGGCTTCACATTTAAAAAGCATTGCAACATGAAAGCTATTTTTAACAAAGCATAAAAGTATAGTAGTGTAAGTGTTTCTACCTCATTTACTTGACTTTTTCTCAGAAATTCTAGATAGGACAATCTAAATCGTTAAAACTGTGTCCTTGCTGTTATTTCAAGTACAGCAGTTTCACTGTGATTTAAAAAACAGCAGATAAACACCTTAAAAAACAGGAAGTTGAAAGCGGTTAGCCAATTTAGAAACAACTCTTTTCTTGTTAGGTTTAAACTTGAGACAAAACATCAGGTAGGTCTGTGTACTGGCAAGAATTTGGTGATATCACAACATAGGTCACAATATATCATGATATATTGCGATACTGTAAGCAAGGGAAAAAAAATTGCCTTTTTTGTGTGTAAAAGATTCTAAGCCAGGGCTATTCAAATGGTGGCCCACGGGCCACGTCAGGCCCACTGGTGACTAAAATCTGGCCCACCAATTGGTTGATTAAATTCATTGGTTCTTAAGCCCAAACCCTCGGTTTTCTGCTTTAATTACCATAACTTCTTTAAGTTAAACATAGACATGTGTGGTATACAGAAACATCAGAATCTTGGCCAAAAGCTGGTGAAAAACCATTTGAATGAAAACCCAAGACACTTAAAACTACAAGCAGTACAATATAAAGTTAAGACAAGTAAAAATAAAATTGTTTTAAAAATGTTGCAAGTTTAGTATGTCAAAATAATATTTGTGTCAATTGCTTTTTATTTTGTTTTAATCACTTTTATTATTACATTGGGTTCTATTATGTTGTATTCATGATTAAATGCAGCCAAGTAAACTAATTCAAAAAAGGTAACAGATCTTTGTAATCCTTGGTTTATTTACATAATGACTTTACTTGCTGGATGTTCAGCCCCTCAGCTGTTGGTCTGCACTAACTGTGGCCYGCAGAGCAATTTAGTTAAATAGCCCTGTTCTAAGCCTCAATTAAAAATTGATAGTGCTTTTGAGAATCGATACAGGAAATGGAATGTCACAATATTTTAAGTGTATCTTAATTTATAGTCAGTGCCTCAAAGCTCAGTTTAGAGAAATTATATACACACCTTCACCTGTGGGCGTGGTTTGGTTAAAGAGGAGAGAGAGATCACGCTGCGGTCAGAGACGGAGCTCTAGTTGATCATGTGTAGAACGCCACTGAACCACCAAGCTCAGAAAGTAGGCTGCAGAGAGAAACAGGTGGAGGGAGGAGGACAAGTATAGCAAAGGAGAAGTGTTTCAGGGAAGGGGTACTCAAGTTTGARAAACAGCAACACCGTGAGAATACCGTACAAATGTGTCAAACGGCACCGTGCTTGCACTGTGAGTGGAAAGAGACAGTCTGTAGCTCATATACTCAACATTTGGCCTGTGTGTGGCAGAAACAGGTGGGAAGCTGACCAATGAATCTGCAGCTTCTTTTTAGCCTCAGAAAATCCACCATCAGCATAAATAAAGACRGGTTTTTAGCCACAACTTCAATAAACTAATGTTCCATCAACCTAAGCTTTTATCGCATTTTTTTCTAACCTCATTTTCTTCTTATATCTAACTGTTTAATGTTCTTTTTTATAGACTTAAACCCTCTTGATCCCTCCAACACACCACGTTATCTTGACTTGAGAGACAATGTTCTTTCAAAGCCAACTAAGTGGACCATGGAGACACTCTGACTCTCTTATCTGTTGATATACGCTCAGCTGCAGCAACCTGGCTTTAAAAGGCTGAATAAACCAGGCCTTTTATTCCACCACCACCACACACACACACACACACACACACACCTGCCTGACCGGTTGGACAAGGCAGGGGAGGGGAAGCTTGAACCAGGCTTTTGGTTTCTCTCTCTCTTCCCATCTGACCAACAAGCACAGGCAGACTTTCGACAAGAGTTTGGTGAACAAACAGGGACCTGCATTTACACTACAAGCTGCAGGTGTTCTCGCGTTGAACAGGTTGAGCATTAACATGTGCAAACAGAGCGACAAGCATGGGCACAATGAGTTCAAGAGACAGCAACAAGTGACTCACTGTTTCACCTGCATCAGGGTTGTGCAAGCAGCACCCCCCTCACCTTCCAAAGAAATGAGCCAGGTGTGATGTCACAACAGATCGYCTTTCACGAGCATATCACCAATCGCCAACTTTAAAATGAAATGAAGCCTTAATAGATTGCACGTGATCCTGCAACCTTTTCAAAAATAAACATGCTTCCAGCTTGGGTGCAGCAGCTGCATCGAAAAAGGGGAGGAAAGTAGGATGGATTATTGAGAAAACAGGGAGTGGCTATAAAACTGTTTCCCAAAGGAAAAAAAAAAGTCATCTGCAAGAAGCAAAACCAAAATTTACATGCGGGAAAATGAGTGACTAACAGGAAGACATGACATCACCTAGAGTGATAACAATCTACCTGAACGAACAACCTGGTCACGCCGAACCACACACATGAACACATGACTATGAATGGTCACAGGCAGTTATTATCCACCACAGACGGAGACGGGCAGCTTGAAGGAGCCCCAAACAAATTAAACTAACAAACAGAAAAACAAAAAGGGAATGTGAGAGCAAACACAGGAATAATAAAAGGCRGCAGAGATAAGCTCAGGGTTGTTGAATAAAAGATAAAGGCTAATCTTGCATTCCTTTCATTGTCTCAGGCTAATTCAACTTAGCAGCCCACCCACTCATAAGAAAACTGACTAGCTGTCATCCCGATATCAATGTTTAATGTTGTGACATTTCAAGGCAAGTTACATGGTCACTGTGACACAAGAACTGGAAAATAATCACCAACCGAATGTCATCTTAGTCACTGGATTCTCATAATTACATGTGGCGACAGTAAATAGAATATCTACAAAGATGTATTTCGCAAATGATAACAAATGAAATTCCTACGAGATGATTTATCATCAGTGATGGTTATTTCTTGGCAGGCGTAGTTGGGAGTGTGATTTTGTAAGTGTGTGAGTGGCTGCAGTTGAACCGCAGGCGGGAGGGAATTTGCAGCTGTCAGTCTGGGAGGCCGGTGGGACAATGTGAAGTTTGTGCGACTGATGGAACGGACACAAATGTGAAGAGAGTTGGAGCACAAAGATAACATCAGCAGACACATGAGAGGGAGTGTGTGCATGTCTTCTTTTTTTGTGGGGGCTAAATTTTGCTGCTCTTTGCATACTAATGACTTTGGCCGCCCACTCCTTACAGCTGTTAGTTCTGACCTTGGAAGTCAACTGCAAGTTTAGTCCAACAATGAAAACAATCATTCAGCATCGTCCCATTGCTGCTCCCTTTCTCTCCCCTCTTCCTGACTAACAGGATGTTTTGGATTTCAGAGGTGAGTTTCTGAATCCTTACTAACAACTTTCAACAACTGACCTACTATTATTATATAAAAAGAGCTAGCTTAATGGTCAGAAACTGAAATAAAAATCAACCAGCAATGGTTGGCTCGCTCTCTCAGTCTGCATTTGCCCCCGTAGTCATTACGATAATCATGCGACCACAAACCACTTCCCAGTTTTACAAAAACAGTTCTCCCACCATTTTCAGTTCCACTTTTCTGACCTTTCACAACACTTCCATCATATTTTTATTTATTTATTTATTTATACTCCTGTTGGTTTAAAACAACCTTACATTCTCACTGCTGAATCAGTTCTTGTGATTTTACAAATCGGACAGAATTAAAAGTTAGGACAGATTAAAATAACAGATCCTCCAAGACGTCCTCTTGGCAAGGATTCAAAGATTACAGGGTATAAAAYAGACTTGTAGACACATTAGTTTTACTTGTTCTTTGGTTAGAATGATGTTTAAAACAGAACRTTTAGAACTGCTGAAAGAAATTGTTATAAATATAATCACGTCTATTCAGATATTTCAGACAGTTGGATGAAACGAACAAGTGTAATGGTTATATTACTGTGTGCTAAATGACACTTCTGACTGAGTTATTGGGAAAAAAAATATATAAAAATGATAAAATATATTTTTTCTTTCATGCTAGCTGTCCATGTACAAAAAGAAGTGAGTGAACGAGAGCGCAAAGAGGAAGAGTTATGCTCGGTTGTTTAAAGCGTGACCGTAGCRAAAGTTCAAAACGACAAGCACCGTGCCTTGAGGTCAACAACATCTGACTGAACTCTGACACACCACGAGTCCAGATATCCCCCATCCCATCTGATTCCACAACCATCAGTCAGCATGACTCATTTAACCCCGTCAGGAGGCATCTATGATCATGTACACGTGCAGCCAACAATAAAGCCTTTGTAGACTTTATTAAACTCTAGTGAATGCCTGCACCTGGCGTCGGGAGCTAAAACCTTCTTCAAAACAACCGATTCAGTGTCAAAACGCACATCTGTTCGCACACTTCCACCTAACTCGCACTGCATTTTGATGCCAAGTCAGTGTGATGCCGTAGCTGAGCAGGGCTCCTAATGGGATTGAGGCTTTTACCCCTCTAATCCACTTACCTCTTAACACATACACATGCCAAGTTAACAGGTAYGCACAAACGCAGACACACCGTTGTACGTTTGGCTCTTCACGGATTAACCTGCAGTCCTCAAAAGAGCAGACACAATTCCTGTCTGTGTTCAGAACATCTGTCAACAATCAAACAATGATTTAGAGACGAGTTGTGGAGAAGGAGTTGGCTTCTGGTGTTATTAGTGGTCTCACCTGAGCCTGTTACACCTAAAGTTCAAACACGTGCCTTATAAACATACACCAGGACAGACCTTAAGTCCAAAGGGAAGTCTCTGAACCACAATCTGTCTGTAGGAAACCAGTGTTTACAAGGGGGAGCTAGTTTACTTGTTCACRTTTAAGATGACAGTTATCCCCACCCAACAAAACAAGTTCACACAGGACCCACCCAACAGGTTCACAATTTGACAAAGTAATACCAGCTCGTGTGACAGACCACCACCCTGATAGTAGAACTGATTACACACAAAAACTAAGAAAAACAAGCCTTTAAAAATCAAACGTTTTGCTGATAAAAAATGATCCACAACCGAGTCGGTGTTGTGCCGAAAAACGTACCCCTCATGTGGAAAGTACCTCAAGGGGTGTTTACTTAAGGCAAACTAGGCTAGCCAAAAAAAAAAAAAAAAAGAGCTACATTTGCGAAATTCAAAATATTATTTTCTTAACTATATTCACAAAAATATAGTAAGAATAGGGGGGGGGGAAAAAGAGTGCACGACACTGTTGTAAATCAAACCTTCTCTCCGCCGAAGATTTCGCTGTGAACCACCTGAAGCCGCTAGCAGTTAGCATCTCCCGAAATACAGTAGTGAATTATTTGCTAACGTAAGATTAAACCAATTGATAGTGGGTCGGTGGGGGGGCTAGGAGAACTGGTAATACAGCAGCCAAAAAATATAATAACAAATCCTTCAGCGTTTAACTCACTCCGTGGTCGTGCCAAGTGCCAACGCCACTGCCGAGCTAAATAAACTCAAATCAGCTCAGATGGGCTCTGATGCTCGCTCAGCAGCGTTTGACCTGGTTTGGTTGTCCTGCAACGTTAGCATCACAATAACCCACAGATATAGCCGACAGCAGAACTAGCTTTAGCCACAAAAGAACAGAAGAGGAAAGCGGCGTTCATAGCCAACCTACACGGTTATTCCGCTACATTTACTGACATCAAATGCTTGCTGGAGTCGTAAAGTGCATAACGGGTAACAAAAGATCGGGTCACGGCTTGAACTTTCGTGTTAGCATCGTTAGCTAATGGTAGCCAACGAGAGTCGTGCTCATGTCGAATATCTGTGACCACTCCTTGCCAGCGCTGCAGAAAACCTAGACGCTRTGGAGGGGTAGGTGGGGGAAACATATACTTGACAAACATCTGTTAATGATTATTAATTCACTCACCTGCTCAGAGAAAATCCTGTCCAGACTCCTTCCAGACTACTCCGTTTTGAGTGTTTTCTGCCCCTCTTTTTTTCCTCCCCTCCTTCTCTCTTGTGGGTCAAGCTTGTAAAAAAAACAGAGCGACATCAGAGTTTTTCTATCAAAYGGAGGGCGGGATCAGCATTACCGTAATGTCGGCGCACTTAGAATTGATCCTCACACAGGTGTGTTTGGCGAGGCTCAGACCAGTTCGTCGGCACTCTTTTCCAACAGTTTGGTAAAGTATCCCCGTCTTGATAAAAACACAMACTTCCTGATATGAGTCTTTAATTACAAATGGGAAGTAGAAGGCTTTAAATATGGTCACAGAGCCGCCCCTTATCTCCTCCCATGCATTTCCGCCCGACATGTACACACACTGATGTCATTTCATTGATTGCACAAGAACAATGGTCAGAGAGGAAGCTGCATTTCTTGGGGAAGTAACAGCATTCCACACTAACCCGAGAAAAAGAACATAAAAACCTCTACAAGTGACTGTCACAGTCTGTGTTTGATCAGTAGGCTTTTGGTTTAAAAGAGGAAAACCTTTTAGTCATCACTGACCACAATATTAATGACCTAATGTGATGWTGAAAACAATCTTAGTTTTGCTACACTTTTATTCAGCATACAMCTTATGTCTTTTACAGTTCTTAGCTTTTTATTTTTTAACTTTATTTGAAAACATTTCACCATTAAAATCTCTTCAATTCCTGTAAGAACAATTTGCTTTAATAAACTTTTTATGCAATTAAACCTTTAGCTTGCTTTTCAGTTTTAGCTTTTACAATTTCAAAAGGGACTGTTCTGCTTCTTTTAGCTAGCCCTTTTGTATCCTTTTTGTTACTTTTAACTGAGCTGTTTGCGACTTTAAGTTAACGTTTAGCTACTTTTAAATACTCCTCCACAATGTATAGYTTTTAGCTTGCCTTCTGCTGTTATTAGCCAGCATTTTACCATTTTTAATGTTTAGCAAGCACTGCATAAACATTGTTTTGCTCCTTTTAGCTCTTGGTTGACCTTTTGTTACTGTCAACTACTATTTCTAGCCTCTAGCTAGTTGTTTGATTATAAAGGCAAATATTTTTTGCCTTTAGCTATTTTTTTTTGGCTATTTTGGCATGTGGCGAGCTATTTTAAATAACCCTTTTGTTACTTTTAGCTGAGCTTTTCCTGATTTTAGATATATTTTGGCTACATTTAGCATCCAGCTACCATTTTGCTTATTTTTTTAGCTAGCCTACTGGCTGATCATTTTTAGCTTTTAATCTCTTTTTAACCTTAAACTAGCCTTTAGCTATTTTACTTTTAATAAACCTTTTTCTGCTTTGCTTAGGAATTTTGCCACTTTAATTTTTAGCTAGTGTTTTCTACTGGTGTTTTGGTTCCTTTATCTAACTTTTTCTTTTTTTGCATTTGGCTTTTAGATTTGTGCTTATATTAACATTTAGCTATTCTACAACTTAACTGTATCAGATAAGATTCAGCTTTTTCACTCTGCAGTTTTGAAGTTTCTTGTTACTTTTTCTCTTCTAAGGTCTTTTGTGAAAACCTGTGACACAACCGAAACTTGGAAAACAACTCATCAGAGTGGGCCGAGTGGAAGAAGGAACAATGCGAGGAATTTCCCCCGGTTTCCTTGAAAGTCCCCCCACAGAGCTTCTTTTAAGTCTCTGACATGCCGAGACAATAAATATTAGGAACAAAAGCTGTGCTGCTCTCTGGAGGTGCAAAGGGAGACGTGAAGATAAAATTTATATCAGTTCACAACAGAACGCCTGCACTACAGATCCACGCCAAGTTAGAAGCTGTTTTAAAAAAAGAGAGCTGCAGCAGAAGAGGTAGGTTGTTTATAAAAAGAAAATTACACATTTACTTTAAAATAATAAAAATCTAATAAACTAACTTATAGTTAATTTTCTTTTTAAAAGCACACATTGTACACATGTTGCACACTGGGCAATGAAACAATAAACTACTCAAAATACTTCTCTTTAACTTGAAGTAATTTATTCAGAACAAAATAATATAAAATATTTAGAGTCCTATCTAAAAACACAAAAACTACAAAGAAATATCAGAATGTATGCAAGTCACACAGCTTTCAAGTATCTAATATAAATGATAATATTTTCAGGAAAAACAAATAAATCTTGACTTATTTTACTGTCAAAATGCCTTAAATGCAATTTTTTTACTAGTAATTTTTTTCCACAAGTTCTCCTGTAGCAGGGAATCAATACTGAGTCGAAGCTTTTCAAAATAAGAGAATTAGAAATAACAGAACCTCCTTTAGTCAAAGAAGTGAAAACAGAGAGATGTTTTCTAAAAAGTAAAGATTCTCCACTCAGCCTTATTATTGTCGTAAATTTGGTAAACCTTCATGGTTACTGGGTCAAAAAACGATCCTGAAATATCAAATATCCCACTGTGTTCAGGTAAGTTGGACCAGAATAAAATGAATGCTGTTGTTMTTTAAACTGGTCAATGGAAATCTAGTGCACAGTGCTCAGTCACTTTCTATACAACTGTAAATTCTGTCAACTCTTGAAAAGATTGACAATTTTGACAGTAAATAGCTTTCAACTTAGCTTGAATGTTTGTTTAGTTAATAAAATCCTGAAATACTTCAGTCTAAAGTTATAATTTCAACAGCTAAGCTAAAAAATTAGCTTGTGTATTTTATTTCTAAATTCATAAGCGATAGTTGCCTGAAAATGCTTCAAATTTCAAATATTAGAGTAAAAAAGATTAAATTGTAAAATTATATTTTAGCCACATCACTATTCAGCTATACTCCTGCTCTTTTGTTAGCTGTTTGTTAAACACTGGAGTCCAGGCATCAGTTCTTTCCCTCCTCCTTTGCTACGCTGGTAGTTAGCAGTAGCCTAAAACATGCACACATCTTTATGCTGTCCTGTTGGTGTATTTACCTGCTGCATGGCTGTTATGAACTAAATAAATTTTTGGAGGAGGCTGTGAATGTGTTTCCTCTAAAAGATACATAACAGAAAAAGTCACAGAGCATCAGTGGTGGGCACAGTTCCGCTAATTCACTAATAGCAGAACTAGCTTCTCTTTTAGCGGATTAGCATTTTTGCTGAATTTGGAAATCATTAGTGGATCGATTAGCTTCCACTAAATTAGCTTCCACTAATTTTAGGTCCACWAAAAAATTCACTAGTGTAATTCACTATCTTTATGCCATTTATCCTAAATCAAATAGAAACTATTACCCCTTACAAGCAGTGCTGGACTTGTCAGGTGTGTGTAGCATGTAGCCTTTTTAGCCGCTAAACTTCAAACTAAGAGTGCCAAAAAGAAATGAAAATAATTTTGAACATTTTGGTTAACTGTGCCCCCCACTGCAGAGTATCATGCTACTAAAAATATCTATATTTCTTGTAAAAACATGAACTCTTTYACTGAGTTTGGATCAGAGCACTGTATTAGTGCTGTGTGTGATCAGGTGTCTGCGCAGGTTGCTGGGGTTGTTGAAGCTGGCCGCGCAGTGGCTGCATCCGTACGGCTTCTCTCCAGAATGTGTCCTCAGGTGGATCTTCAGGCTGCCGTTCTGCGTGAAGCGTTTACCGCACTGCGAGCAGACATACGGCTTCTCCCCAGTGTGGATGCGCATGTGGATGTTCAGCGTGGTCTTGTTGACAAACGACTTGCTGCACAGGGCGCAGGACACGGGCTGCTCCCCGGTGTGGCCGGCCCGGTGCACGATGAGGTCTTCGCGGTTGTGGAAGCGCTCGCCACAGAAGCTGCAGTCCAGTTTGCTCAAGGCGTGAGGGAAGAGGGGCTGCTGTTGAGAGAACTGRCTGACGAGACTGGGGTGCCCCCCGTGGCTGTTTGCGCCAACTAAAGGTGGCTTTAAGGCGGAATTCAGTATCGTCAAGCCCATTTGAGAGGAGTGATTCCTTTCAAGTTGGCCGCTTAGCCTCACTTCGGCGCCGTCGTCCTGCATCGTTCTCATCGGGGCTCTGTCRTTAGTGCCAGTGGTGAAATTCAGAAGGCTGTCGGAGGTGATGTTGTGGTCGGACAGGGAGCTTAAAGCCTGAAGCTCAGAGGCGGAGAAGAGCGTATCGCCGTCCCCCTGCAGAGAACCCTCTACTCCACTGTGAACGCTCACAATTCTCAGCTCCTCATTATCATCGGCCAGGCAGGGGGAACCAACTGCGTCTAACGTCTGAGTCTCTGCAGCACCCTGCAGACCATCGACTCTAAAGTTATCCTGACCTGAAAACAACAAAAACAGAATGTAAAGCTGGTGTCAACTTTTCTGACAATTATTTGCACGACACAATTTTGCCCAACGCTTCTAAAGATGCACAAAGTTGTGTGAGGAAAGTTCGACACTCCAAAACTCCAGGACAAGCTGTGAACTGGTGTTTCTGTGGGCCATGACCAGCAGCTTTACATCAGATGACCAACAAACAAGCTGCAGTAATGCTTCTAAAGCCCATCTGCTCCTGTGGGAGGCACGGATGCTGCGAGGAAACAGCAGACATTTTTTATGTTCGTAATTCACGACAGAAAGAGTCACGATTGCTGCGTTTTTTTYTTTAAAGCTAGGCGCAATTAGTGCCGAGTTCACAGAGTGATCCGCCGACTTAAAAACCCGTTAAAACCAGTTTGAACTTCTCAGTAATCTGATGGGATGAGATGAAATGAAACAAAATGAGCTGAGATCAGAAGGAAATAACTTGTGAACGTCTGAACAGAGTCGACTGAACTCACAGAAAATGTTCCAATCATTTACTGGGTTCTTTCAACAGCTCTGCTGAGTTTTAAAAATTCATGTGAAGCTGCTGACAAGCAGTGCTGAAAATTAAATAAATAAATAAATAAATAAATAAATAAATAAATAAATAAATAAATAAATAAATAAATAAAAATCATATTCACCTGAACTTGAGCAGCTGAGGGGGAAGTCTTTTTGTCTGACTGAACAGTAATAGAAGCAGGTTCTCCAGCTGTTTTTTCAGCCCCTGATGGCTTCATAAGAACTGAAAGAGAAATGAATAAAACTATTTTAGGGTCAGTTGTAGCGTTGGTACAGAAATAGATAAGTAAAAGAACAAAGATACTTGGCACTGCTAATAAAAAATAACAGTAACTCCCACGAATTCAATAAGATTTCAATTTTTTTTTGGACACTTCATTTAAAGGAAGACTAATGTAAAGACTATCAACAGTACAACATCRACCTCTGGTGGTCAGTTCAGGTAAAGCAAGAGTGTCAGCAGTAAAAATACTGAAGCATTAAAGAAGATAATTAAGGCAGTTATTTCCAGGATTTTACCTATATTATGTGTGACCTAAAGGCACAGACTAGTTGTAATGTAAAATAAAGTTGCTGTTTATTTCTACTGTGATTGACGAGTTGTAAATCACATAATTACTACACCACCAGGTGTTAATTTAATCTGTAGTTTGTAGTTTGTATGAGTACAGAGCAGTCTATTCCATGTAGGGTTGGGCAATATTGGCAAAAAAAATTAATCTGTATTAATTGCGGTATTTAGCAGATAATGATTAATTTGTCGATTAATCCCTGGAGTCCCTGGACACACTTATTTTGTAGTCACATGACCAATTTAAGTGGGAAAGATTTGCTCTTTGAAAGAAATTGTTCCAAATGTGAAAATTACAGATTTCAGGCTATACATCATATTTTCAATTGTGTTGATAGATAAATAAATTACAGAACTTTTTTTTAATGTTCGTCATATTAGAAGCAGAGAAGAGCACCGAGCGGACTGACCGGAGTAATCTCCAGTCATTCTGCCTGGTGGCTTTAATCCTGTTAATCGTCAAGTGCCAAAAAGTAATCGATTAATGTTTTTCTGATGATTAATTGCACACGATACGATTATGCCCAACCCTAACTCCATGTTTATAATCTAATAAAGTACACTTTTGAAATGAAGGTTTGTAGACTTGGACCAGTTTTTATATCAGCATGATTTCCTTACATTTTACATTTCCACAGTGTTTGAGTTTTGCTTTAGCAATTTATATCCCAAAATAAAATATAATGTTTCTGTTTTAATATGTAGCAATACTAGAAATTATGGAAGTCGCCAGAAGAAGCTTTTATCTCTCTCTCGGCTGTTCATTGGATGAAATAATAGTAGTTTTTTTTTCTTTGTTGATGTATATTTTATTTTATGGATATTGTTTTTAATTGGGGGCAGATATTATAAGATTCTTTTCTTCTCCTTTTCATTTAATGATATTGTGCATTGTGCTTTTTGTTGTTTA